GATCATCAGGATAATTATTCATAGTCCATAAACTAGCAGAGGAGAAGCTCCTGGTCTTCTGATTTATGTCAGCTTTGAGACCAAGCCAGAAAACTTGTTATTATGGAGCAACTTTGTATGCGTGTGCACGCACGTGTGTGTCTGCGTATGCAAAACCTGTCACTGTCAGACACAATAATGGCATTTTATTGGAAAAAAATTAAACTTCCCTTGCCCTTCTGGGCTTGGATTCATCTTGGAGAGGCAAAAATGAGGGACCTGCCACCTCAGCTTCGCTGACTTATGATTGAAGCTGATTTTATTGTAGATTTTGTTTTCTTATGCATTCAGATGATAACATGGTTGAGAAGGGAGAGCACAAGAGTGACAGTCAGAATTCCTGTGTTTTCTTAAGGATAATGTAGTTTTCTGTTGTTTGATCTCTCACACAATTTGACTTCCATCCTGGATTTCTGTTTTGCCTATAAAGTGAGAACAGTGATACTTCTCTATCTACCTAAGAGGCCCCATAGTATCATAACACGGTTTGGGTTGGAAGGGGTTGCCATGGGGGTTTCACTAGACCATGCTGCTCAAAGCCCTATCCAGGCTGGCCTTGGTACCCTTCAAATGATGTGGCATCCATAACTTTTCTGAGCAATCTGTTCCCATGTTGCCCATATCTGCAGTTTTGTGGGTTTCCTGTCACCCCAGGATTGTGGAGCTGGGGGCTGCATTGAACTGTCATCTGCCTTTTCTCTGGATGGGAATTTGTTACGCACACACACACAAACACCGCTCAGTTCATGCTCTCGTCTGTTGGGAATATTTAGTCTTCTCATGATACCAAACCCAATTCAAGGAAATCAATTCATTCAGACTTGTGAAGACGAGGATACTGCAGGGGGGAAATAAATTAGTAGCGGATGTTTAGTCTAATGGATGATGGAAAACTAAAGGGTTTTAAATATTAATTTATTACCACTGAGACTAGCAATGGGATTTAGAGGCAGGAAGAACTGAAGCTCCTGAGTTAGATTGTTTTCTTGCTGACACCTCCATTCTTCCAGTTGGAGGCCCAAGGTCTGTATCTGTTGGTTAAAGTGGACAGTGTGTGTAAGGCACAGCAGATAGCCTGTAGGGTGTCTACTTAAAACCATCAACCTGTAAAGACCCTCATTCTGCTACTATCTGAAGACAGAATAAAGGTGGTATATAACTGTTTAGGACTGAAGGCTAAATCAAGAGAAAACTGAATGGCGGATAAGCAAACAATGAAGTGACAACAGTGAACATGACAGGCAGGGACATCTGCAGAGCAGCCTCTGCAGTCCTGATCTGCAGAGGGTAATCATGGCAATCTTTTAGTTCATCCTCATGCAATTATGATCTGCTACAACAGATGTAGTCTATGGTTTCCTTGGAGCTGTTCCAGCCTTCAGAGACCAGCCTGGCAACATCTCACAAGCGTTTGATAGAGCATGGGGCACTTTGATAACACAGACATAGCTGCTGTAGCTTCTTCTGGTAAACTGCACCTTTAGGAGCATGTCTCCTTTCGGATTCTCTGCAGAGGTAAACGCAGTCATTCTGGCAATACTCTGGCCCCTGTAAAAGGTTTTAGAAGTGCAGTTAAGCACTGAGCCATTTTACAGCCTTGACCATCCCAGCTACATTGACAAAGATTAACAGTGCTTTTCTGGCCTTTATTTAGCTCCTAAAAGAGCAGACAGTAGTCTCCTTTGTGGCCCTAGGGATGTTCAGTGGATCAAGGTGAGACATTCACCCCAGCTATACGCAGGGATTTGGCTAAAGAAGCAGGGACACAGATTACTGGAAGTTGATGACTCCCATTGTCTTTTGATTCTTTATCTACTGCTTAAGAAATGGTGCAGTTACAAAGTGTTTGTTGATGGTAACTATCAAAAGCACAGTATATGAAATACTCAGACTTGTAATTACTTACTGCAGTAAAATGCAATTAAGTGCCCAATTCCCTTCTAAGCACCTCCTGCCTTCATTCTGCCTTCCTCCCCATCCTGCAAAGCACAGCAAATTAACAGCAGGAAGGGTTAGATCATAATAATGTTCCAGTGAAAACCCTAAAGCAGTGGGCTACATTAATGTAGCTACCTGAACTCAAGCATGGGCTGCTGGCTGCTCCAAATACAATTTCCTTATTCTTACTTGACATGTGCAAAATTAAGTGCTAGACAACCTGCTTAGCTTCACTAAATGGACTTTATTTAACAACATCAACTTTGTCTCCTATTCCCTTTCATTGCACCCCTCCCAGAGTCATTATGTATAGGGGTGCATTATTTTGCAAGTAGGAGCCAGAGAAAAAGCTTTTTGAGTGTTTTCAAATTTAACTGAGTTTTGCTTGTTGTATAGAGGGGTTTGGGCTAGGAACTATCAATGGGCACACACCTTTTGTGCGTTCCCTTCTCCTGTGAAGCGTGCAGGAGTCATTGCTGAGAGGCGCATGGGCAGAGCTGGTCCAGCTGAGTCCTCTGCGCTCACTGCTGCTCCTTCGAGGTGTGTGGCTTGGTTCCTACGCAGAAAACCAGTCATCAGTGATGGCTCAGAAGAAAAATGCTCACATGTTAGGAAATGTATTATTAAACTTCACTTGTCAGCTTTAAGTCTGATGCTGATGTTACTGCTTTAAAATGAACTCCTTCATGCTAGTGCTTTAATTGTTCAACAGTCAACTGATCTGAAACAGCACTCAGACCATCAGGGACCACCAAGATCAGTCCAACATTGCTGCTTTGCCCCACTGGGGATTTGGGTCCAGCCTCTGGGTTTCTATATCCATGCAGAACTAGTAGCGTGTTGTGGGCATCTGATGTGTGAAGTGTGGTGCGTTCAGCTGTGCCCCTGAAGAGGTATGTTCTGACAAACATAATATTTGGTGTCTGCTGAGACAGAGACTCAGTAGAACAGACTGGCCACTTAGGCAGTACATTGTGTTCAATGTACTGTATATAGGAGTCCTTTTTTCAGCATATATCCTATTAAATTAACTGGAAATGAGTGTTCATCAGTCTCTGAGGGAAACAGCCTGAAGCCTTTTCTTTCCTCTTCACATCAGGCATTCATCAGGCCTTTGTGACTACATTGGCTTGCAGAAAAGGTCAGAAAGCAGCTCTGCAAATACAAGTCGGATTTCCAAGGGCCAAACCCTTTAGTCCTTATGTGGGAATTTTTCAGTACAATAATGGTTAAATTCCACAGGTCAATCCTGTTCTTTTTATTCAGCCAATGCTGTTGGGGTTGTGGAGAGACTTCAAATTCCCCGTTGCTTCTCTCCAAAAGCGGGATGGATTTGGAATCAGGGTAAAGTTATCCAATTTGTGCATGCTCAAAACCTTCAGGTCTCTCTTCTTATTCCAGACACCCTCTTCAAGAAAATTCATACTGATGATTGTCAGATATTCTTCCAGGTTTTGGCAAAGAGCTAAGGGTTTACTTTAGAGAAAACTGCTGGCCTCAGAAATGCTTGTGAATACTTCTTGTTATTTCTGGTGGAGAATGAATATTTCTTCTGCTTTGGTGACAAGGTTAAAGACACATTTAGAGCCATTTGTTGTGACCCCATTTGCTTAGGGACATGGAGATAAAGCCCAGGTTTGGTTTTGTTCAAGTGTCTCGTTGTAGTGCCTCTTGTTATACTATACTATTCATACTACTATATGTTATAAAATTCTACGGAATTTGAGACAGGTGAATCTCACTTCTTTGTGATTGAATTAGGTGGCAGAGTCCTGCAGAAAGCACAAGTTCTGTTTTCCTTCTCCTATTTGTATTTGTGAAATAGATTAAAAGTAAACTCCTGGACCCAGGCTCTGGAGAGAAATTTAATGCCTCTCTTGCAATCTGCATGTCCCATGTTTGGTGAGGAAAACCATCGCACAGGCTCCCTGGTTGATGACACCTCCTGCAGTTATGTCACCATAAAGGGGTCTTTTTTGTGCCTTGTGAAGCTTTTCCAAGTGATAAATGGTGCTTTCCTGTCTCTCCATATCCATCAAAACCTCTTAATGAATTTCATTGCACTCTGAAAGTGCACTATTGCCATAGGAGTGAATTAACATTGAGGGAAAAGTCAGTTTTCCTCTAATTCACATCATGTTTTTCATTTGTCACATTATCTCCTCAACTTTAAAATCCTTAATGCTCTGGGTATAAGCTACTGATAAATGACACAAACTTTCCCCATTCATCTGTGCACTTGTATAGAGCATGAAGAGTGCAGGGCAAAATCAGTCCATCTATAGATCTTCTCTATAATACCCTTGAGTCTCTGCAGTGACCTGCAGGAGCAGATGTACTTTGTGGGATGTCAAGGGTGAGTTAACAAGTCTGAGAGAGTTCAAGTGAAAACTCGTCAGGAAGCTGAAGGAAGAACACCACTGTCAACTCCTCCTTTTGAAGTGAGGACAATGCAGCCCAGTTTCCTTTAGCAATTGCAATCCTGATGATACAGTGCAAGGAAGGTTGGCTCTTGAGGTGAGCGTTTGCACTGAAAACCTGCAGAGCTTTCAGGGCAGCCTTGAAATGCTTTCAGAGCAAATCCTCTGGCAAATGCATATTTGGATTAGTGTTTGTGATGGCTTTTTATTCTTATTAACTTCTTGCATGCAGAAATCTGTGTAAATGTTTGCCAAAATCAAATCTAAGGGAATGAAAGCACCAAAACAAAGGCTTCTTCCTCCAAGGGAATGGAGCAGTGTTTCCAAGACTCCAGCCAGGAGCAGTGTGTAAAAGCATATGTTGCAGTCCAGGTTGTTGCTTGTCTCCTTGAGTTAAGACTCAAACAACACCCAGATTTTGGGCCATTGTATTGGCAAGCTATACTGGGTTTGTGGGAAAAGAAAACTGAAAGGCAGTGGTACTTGTTCCCCTTACTGGATGCCTCATCATTAAACAGCCCTGTCTCTCTCAACTGCTCTAAATCATCCTTCTGCCATACTGACTAATGGGGACTGTGGCCATTTTTTCTTATTTCCAACTAGATCCAAACTCAAGTCTCCATGGATGAATAAATGAATGGATTTATTTTATTGCAGCACTTGGCCCTCAGTAAATGTCAGAGGTAAATTGGGATTGGATTGGGGTTTCTTTTTTTATGTTCTTGGGTAGGAATATTCTGGGCATGTGCTGTACACGTGCTTCCTGAGGAAATTAATTATTGTGTTGTTATTATTATTACCATTTAACACTTGTATGGTGCTTTACATCTTCAAAGCACTTTGCAAACGTTTAGCTAATTAATTAAAGTGCATTTCATGCAAATCCGCTTCCATCTGGATTTACAATCAGCCCTCCTTCATGGGGAAATTATGTCACACATAAACTAAACTAGAAAGCTTGCTGGAGCTGGGAGCAGTAGCTTGTGTGAGCAGTGGGAGGTGGAAAGTAATGATGCCTCTACAGCTGCCTCCCTCGGCTGGGGTCCTGGTGGCTGCGGCATAGCTCGCTGCTCTGGACAGCCCCTAACACCAAGAGGCTCACAGCGAGGTGCATGCTCAGCACAAGATTTAGAGGCAGCCCAGTGGCTTTATTTCAGAGGTGAGTTCTGAAAGCGTTGACGAACATCTGCTTTTAACAATGTTCCTCTGTCCTGTTTTTATCATGGGATTAACAGCAGTTGCTTCAGTTTTACCCCAAGTCAGAGTGATGGCAGTGACATCCTCTAAACGTCTCTGTCCTGGAGACAAAGATAACATTCACAGATAACGTTCATCTCAAAGACTTTTTTACTCCCGTTGGAGCTCAGTGAGGCTTGAAAGACACCGAGTGCGAGTGAGTAAATGGGAACATTGCTTTTGACAATGTGGCATTGAGGAACCTGTGGTACTTTGGTCAGCCTTCTCCAGCACCACATGACAGGTTTGGCTCTGCCTGCCAGCCTGTCTGTCTCCCACATCAAGCTGGTACAGAGAGAAATGTGCTCAGGCATTGGGATGAGGGGAGGAAAGAGCCCTCCCTGAACTCACCTGTGCTGGCTCACAAATTATCAGTCCTGGTTACCACCAGAAGAGGCTTTGCCTCTGCAGCATTTACTAAACAATCAGCATAATCCCCTACCAGATACAATTCAGTGGGTGCAAATAGGGTCTTAAAACTGAAGAGCTCCTGCTGACTCAAATAAATCGGGCCAAAGCCACCACTTAACAGCCTAAGCTAAGGACATCTAGGTTTGACTGGCATCCTGCTTCAGTGCCAGCTGCTGCAAACCAAACATGTGTAATATATATGTGTATATTATATATTATTTTTCTGGAGAAAATAGTAAAACGGAATAAATGTCAAATGTCAAAATGCCAGAAAAAAAATCATTCTGAACACAAGATCTTCCATTTAAACAGGAAGAGTAATTAAGCAGCAGAATAATTTAGTGTCACAGGTGTCTTTTACTCCATGCTCTTGAAAACAAGACTGGATGCTCCATCAGAAGTTTTGCATTAGCTGAACAGCAGCTTGTACCCTCAGTTCAACCTAATTTGATGAAGATTGACGGTGTCTGACATAAGAAGTTAGATAAGAACATTAATCTTTTGTCCTTGAGCTCTGTGATTAGAACACCTTTCACACAGAAACTGGTGTAAAAGAAGTTCAGCATTGGTGGGAGGATTGCTCAGCTGACAGCAGGACAGAGCATGGCTCCAGCCCCTAGGGCTTTGCTTTGCCAGGCTTGTGGTGCAGCAAGCAGCTCCAGCTCCTTTGTGCAGGAGTTAAACTTACTGGGATGAGCTTTTCTAGGGAAGCAGTAACGTTGGGAAGGGATGCTCTGGAGCTGTCAAGGGAGGGGAGAAAAGGAATATAGTTTGTACCAGTGACCTGGTAAAGATAATGCAGAGGAAAAGACTTCATCAAAGAGGAAAAAACTCCAACATTTTTGTCTTCTTTTTGTCAGAAAGATTTATTTTCTTTTTTAATACTGAGATGTTGATTTTCTTACAAAGACATTTTCATTGCTTTTTCCTATTTTCTATTAAGCTAAAATTCTGACAGTCAATGGTCAATATTTTCCAGCTGAAAATTAAAATATTCTCTTTCAGGACTGCAATTATATTTTTAGGAACAAGCCTGAACTTTGAAGGGAAACATAGATACGTCCTTAACATTTTTCCCTCCAGAAAAAATGAATGTTCTCTTGAGAAATAGGTTTTAATGAAAAACTTAGATTGCTGTAAGGATCTGTACAGTCATGATAACATAAGAAGCATGGTAAATTGTGTCTGTAATAATTTAAAGCTATCCTGTTTCTCTCCTTGCATCACTGCTATTGGGTTCTGTGGCCATAATCTTATGTGGCTGATAGTAATTCAACTATTGCCTCAAGTCCATGAAAATCCTTATCTGTCATTCAGGCAAAACCTGAAATAGTTTTTGACCCCTGGTGTAGTCAAGATAGCTGTGCTTTCCCTTACAACCTGTTAAACATGTTTAAGATTAAAAGGAGTGGACTAGAGCAAACAGGATCGCAAAGCAACCATGGCTGTGTTTGCTTTTTGAGTTCTAACACAGATACTGCAACGTTAAATTCTAATGCACCTTTTCCTCAAAGGGAAGAGGGATCAGGTGAAAGTTAGCTATGAACAGACATTCACTGCATCATGGCAGCATTCCAGAGGAAGCCTCCCCCTCCCTCTAATGATGCCCTTTGGCTCTTTAGTTTTTATCTAGGTTGGTTTTCCACTTTGATAATTTCTAAATTGTCGTTTATTATTGTAATATCAGTTCTTTGCAGAATGCTTCAAGCAAGATGTTTTAAAGTACAAGGCATAAATGCTGTTGGAACTATTACTGATGATCTCTACCATGCCCTCAAGAACTTTTCCAAGCTGGGTACTGAGGTACTACCAAAGCTGTGGCAAAAGGCAGAGTTCAGGATTCCCCTTGTCTGAAAGTTTTTGGGTGCAGAAAAGCCTATGACCAGAGTTTTATGTCTTCAGAAGACACAGCAGAACTCCTCACACTGAGACCTGAGTTGGCTCCAAGAGCCACACAGCCCCATGGCTTTGGCTCCAGGGGAACCACAGCAGTTCCAAGGTGACAGCCCTGAAGTTAAAGGTGCTCTACAGAGCTCTCCAGTTTGGCTGGGCTTTCTGCACAGCACATGGGTTGGGAGAGCTGTTTATCTTCTATCTATTCCCTCTTCAACACTACTGACATCTAAGCATCTACTCCTGGTAGGTGAACATCTCAGTGGCATCGGCTCACCGTGCACTGACTGTTATCCTCAAGGTTACTTATATGTGCAAATAGTGGCCCAGACTGAGTTTCCTTGTTTGCTAACAGAACAGCTGACAGGATTAGTCATGAAAGAAATGGCTCAGCAACATAGTTCATACTTGGCTGCTGGGGTTCCAAAACCTGGCTCCCAGTGGGTTACTTTCCTAAGCACAGGAGGGGAAGCTATGCATGGGTGGTTGGTTGGAAAACACTGCGTTAGCTAGAGAAATCAAAGGGGAAAGTGAAGAAATAATTTTCTTTTTCCTCTGTGCCTTCCTGCTTTCTTGCCTTCCTGACACTCAATTTCTGTAGCTGAGCTTTGGTTTTCAGCTCTGTGGCACCTCTCTGAACTAAAGATTGAATACAGTGTGATAGAATAGCTGCAGAGAGATTGACCCATCAAGTTCAGATCTTGCTTTACCTTCATCTGCTTCTGTATTTTGAGATAGCTTGATAGTCAAAATGCCTGGTGAATTTTCAGGTTGTCAAAGTGCAATCCAGGAGGTTTCTTCCTCCTTCTGCTTCCTTTTCCTACCTCTCAAGTCAGAGTCCAGCTAAGGTATTTCTTGAAGTTGCAGCAGATTCTGAGGGGCAGATCTAGGCAGAGCATCAACATGATCTTCCACTTTGTTTCCATCCCCTTGCTTCACCTGCTTTTTGCTTTGTTCTTGAATGCTGGATTGAACAGGGCATGTATCTTCTTCACATTTGACCCCCTCTCTTAAAACTGATGGAGGAGGCAGTAAATGAAGATTTCTGTGGCCCACACTCTGCTTTAATGTAATGAATGGATGTCACATGGGAAGAGTCTACAGTGACTGATGCCATGCCTGGCTGGGATCATCTTTACAGATGTACCTATCAAGGTATCCTTTGAGGAAAGGACTTTGTAAATCAGTCATCACCATCTTGATAGTGCTTGTCCATCCTGACCTCAGGGCAGGATCACAGCACCTCAGGTTATGCAGAATGTCTCTGCTCAGGGGTTATTTTCATTTCTTTAGGCTGCCAATATCCTGTAATACTCCAACAGCAAAAGAACTATTTGTTCTTGGGCACCATTTCCCAAACAAGGAGCCTGTCAAGTACATTTGCATGGTTTAATTTCAATGGCGCTTTGTTTGTTTAAGCCCTGATCTCCTTCAGGTTTTGAAAAGTCACTTTTTCCCTGCGTTTGGTAAAGGCTGATTTGTTCCATCCCTCAAAATAACCTGATGAAGCTTAAAATGAACCTTCCTTTTCAATCCAGAACAAACAAACAAAGTTTGTGTCCTTCTGTACTCAGCTGCCTGCTGCATTCTTGGAAGCAGGTTTGTTGGTTAGCTTGCACTCTTGGACTGGGTTTCTCTCTTCCTCCAGCAAACGGTGAGTGCAGGCACAGTATTTTCAGGGCTGGCACAAACAGGCTTCCTGGCAGTGCTTCTTGGTGGTAGGTGAAGGGGGAAAAAAAAACACATGAATTTATGGAACCTCTTTCCTGCCATTTTGTGTCTGCTGTTTGGATTATCCTGGGTTTAATAGTCTGGGTTGCAGCTGAACATGAGCCAGCAGTGTGCCCAGGCAATTGAGGCATCCAACAGCATCTTGGCTTGTATCAGAAATAGCGTGAACAGCAGGACTAGTGCAATGATTGTCCCCTTGTACTCAGCAATGATGAGGCTGCACCTGGAATCCTGTGCTCTGTTCTGGGCTCCTTACTACAAGACAGACATTGAGGTACTGGAGGGGGTCCAGAGAAGGGCAATGAAGGTGATGAAGGGCCTGGAACACAAATGCGATGGGGAACAGCTGAGGAACCTGGGGTGGTTTAGCCTGGAGAAAAGGAGGCTCAGGTGGGACCTTATTACTCCCTACAACTACCTCAAAGGAGGTTGTAGTGAGGTGGGTGTCAGTCTCTTCTCCCAAGTAACAAGTGGTGGAACAATTGGAAATGGCCTCAAGCTGCACCAGGGAAGGTTTCAACCAGATACAAGGGAACGTTTCTTCACCAGAAGGTTTGCCAGGCATTGGAACAGGCTGCCCAGGGAAGTGGTGGAGTCACTGTCTCTGGAGGTATTTAAAAGACATGCAGATGTAGTGCTTAGGAGCATGATTTAGTGGTAGACTTGGAAGCACTGAGTTAATAGTTGGACTCACTGATCTTAAAGGTCCTTTCCAATCTAAATGATTCTATGATTTTCCCATCACTGATGTGCTAATAATAGCTCTGTCTTACACTGATTCTCTAGTGTCTAATAAGGAATTCTGGTTCAACCCTAGTATCAGTCTGAAAATAAAAACAGATGCTTTCTGCTTGCTGGCCTATTTCCTTCTGGGAACTTAATATGTCTCAGAGTATTCACGTCTGGTACAAATCAGCCAGTGGACATTATAATATTTAGGGAGCCATAGGCAAAGAGACAGTCGCATACATGGTGTGGATCACAGAAACCTCATTTTCTCAGGTATGATCTCTAGGAACCATCTTCATTTGCTTGGCTGCAGATCCATCCAGGCCTGCAAGAGTTCTGTTAATCAAGACTTTGTCTTCCCCATTACGTTTGGTGACATCTTCTGCTCTCTTATCTATAAACTACAGTAGCTTATCAGTCACTGCTCTTTTCTACCACAGCTCTGGTTAGAAAGGGCTGTGGTTAAACCATCTTGCTTCTGTCTGTCTGGATCTAGATGTTCCAACCCATTGTCTTCAAAAGAAAAGAGAGAATCCCTGGCTCCCTTTTCCTTTGGTCTGTGTTTCTAATTCATTCTTAAACCAGCAGCAAATCCCACCCTCCTCAGCCCACTGGGCCCCAGAGGAGCAGAACACTCTTAATTAATTCTAATGAACGTCAGCCAGCCAGCTCCCCTCTCTCTGCACTGGGACAGGGGTTACTTTTATCTCCATCATTTTCCTCCCTTGATCTGATTTCCCCCCAGCTAAATTAAATCTCCATCCTCTGTTTCATTGATTTTTCTTTTCTTGCTCTTTTTAACTGAAATAAGTTTACATAAATGTAAAAGTAACAAGGTAGGGGCTCAGAACAGACACGTCAGCTGTCTAATGTGGCCCAGGCTGTTGTAAATCAATAGTAGCATAGTTTAATCTGTATTTTCATAACTCATTCACTCCCCCCTCCCCTCCTAACCCTGAATGCTGAGTTTTATTTAATGTCACAAGGTCCTGGGAGACTTGGATGGAGCGGCCTGGCCCATTGGACCATTCATTTGATGCAAGAGCCATGAAAGGCTCAGATTTATGTCACAGAAGCAGTACTTCTTCCATTAGCTATTTATGGATTTATGCATCTTTGCATTTCTCAACTGTAAATAAAATAAATAACAGGCACTGAAAGCCTGGCAGCATGACAGGGACCTTTATAGGATGCAGAACAAGGACAAAATTAAAAGCAGAGAGAGTATATAAATCTGTGACAGGGCTTCTGACACTTGCGTGGGTAATTGCTGCACTCTGTGCTTTACAGTCCTCATTACATGTGTGTGGGGTCAGAGAGAGTATACATCCTCCAGAGAGGATGAGATTCTTGCTGTAACGTTAGACCAGCCTTTCATAGGAAAACCTTGGAGAGACTTGGCCTTGTGTAGGCAAATGTGATGGCTGCCACCAGCAAACTGGCTTAATTATTTGTAAGAAAGCTTTGGGGGGTAGGGATGATGAAAGGCAATATTCAAATTCATTTGGATGAAAGCAGAATTCAACAAGCTCTTTGGATTGTGGACAAAATTCAGACAGAGATGGCCAAGGAAAGCCTCACTGACTTGTGAGACCCCTTGAAGGGCACAGCAAAACTACTTGGCTCGACTTGGTCCTATGTGCATGCAGCACCGGCACTGGGTGGGAAACTACAATGGAGGGGCAGTGATTTGCACTACTTTGCCTTTCATCATCTGACTGCTCCTGGCTTGCTGGCCGTGCCTGAGCTCCCAGATTTACTAGGATAATAAGGTTCCCATCAAAAAGCAACTTTAAGCATGTGCTTAACTTTCACCACATTCAGCTTAACTCCATGGCCTTCTTGCAACTTAAGGGTGCATTCTGTTGCCTTGCTGAATTTAGGCTTGAAGTTAGAACAGATGTGTACACACAAACAAATATGTATGTGTGCATATATACCGACATATAAAATGCATATAATACTTGCTGTCATTATAGCAACAGAATGTCTGTGTGCTGCTGATGCCTTGGTAACAGCGTCTGTATATGTCTACATATGTGTATAAGGGCTGCCATGGGGTTGGGTGTAGCATATACTTAAATAAAGCTGTAAAAAGCATAGCAATAGGAAAACATAATGAGACATCTATCTGCCAAATCATTATCCCTTTTACACGTCCTTACAACCCCTGCCTCCAGTTCTGCTCTTTGTTATAAGTAAGGAAGAGTGAAAAGTCTCTGGAACATCCTTTTTTTTTTCCTGTGTTTCTCCCCAAAGCCCAACATGTACTAGACAAAGGATGGATAAAATTTGGAGAAAAATAACAGTATTACAACACATTGACATGTGGACAGGAGTGAAACCTGTTTTCTTTGGTGAATCCTTTACCCCTGAAGAGTGAGTGCAACAGATCGTCAGTAATAACGCACCAGGGAGAAGGAAAGCAGCATGAAGTCAAATGTATCTACCTTGGTCTAGTCCAAATGGCAAGAAATAGCTGTTCTCCACAGCAACCATAACAATTAGACATAGTTCTGAATCCCTGATTTTCTCATCTAATAGTTAACACCAAAAAACACCTATGCCATCATTGATATCTAAACTGTTGCAGTAAGATTAGTGAATTTGTTGGGTACCTTCTGAACAGAAATAAGTCGGCATGCTCATGTTCATAGCCAGAATTTGAGGCACGCATTGCTATACTGGCTCCTTTCTGAAAGCCACCTTGAATAATTAGATTTAGGTGTAGCCATAAACTATCTTGAAATTAAGTAGTTTTCCAGATTTCTGGATAAAAATCCCAAATCTCAGACAATAAACAATAAATCATTATAAAGAAGCACTATAGGACAAATAACTGTGTGAAGATCATGAGAACACTGTTCATATGAAAATAAATCAAAGCTATTATTTCCATCCTATGTAGTCATGCCCATGAACTCGGGGATCCTTGAAATTCCCCTCCTGCATTTTCCTGCATCATTCGCACTGGTTTTATTAAACTGGAAGTCTAAATCCTGACCTGACTGCTATTGCATCTCAGTCAGTAAGAAATCACATTTAGCAGTGATGGAATTAATGCCTGAAGGGGCACAATAAACCACAAGGAGTGAAAGACAAAAAATATCAGGGAAGAAAAGAATAGCAACAGAAAAAAACCCAAGGAGCAGAGCTGCATTAGCCTGTGTTTGATTGCAAATACGACTCTGATGTCAGCGCTCTGCATATTGTTGTTCCAAGCTTTCACGCAATCAAAATGTGGGAAGTGTCCCTTTGGAACAGTGATGAACTCCTCTGCAAGGCTGTCTTCAGCCTTGCTGCATATGAAATGCTTTTTTTTCATGTTTCAGAAAGCCTGATTAATAGCACCTGCCTCCACATCTCTGCTGGTACCAGCGGCAGTGTTTTACAGGTGGACTCATTTGCTGGCAAATTTGGCTGACAAGCACTGCACTTGCTCCATATGGGCCGATCAGAGCCCACTCCCTGATCACCATTTTGTTTACCAGTCCAGTTATTGTAAAACACCAGCTTTCCATAGAGAACCATGTGTGATACCAGTACCTGGAAGCTTTTTCTAGCAGCTTATACCAGTAATGCACAGGGCTGGAGTTTAACCAAAGCCTGCTAACGAAGGGCTCTGTAATGTAATCCATTGAGCTTTGCAAGACCTCGCTCTAATGTGATTGCATATGTAAAAGGAATCTAATTTTAAAAGTAAAGAACAGTTATACGAGCGTGAGGAAATTCTTATGAGAATGGCTGGTTTCTGTAGACTTCTTCAGCTCTTATGGAAAAATTCTGTAGGAATCCATAGGAAAAAAATAATAAACGTCTCTGAAGAAGTTTGCGGTGAGGAGGTTAATAGAAAAATCATATCTCTGGTGTGGAATTCATTTTCTTCCAGTCACCTCAGTATAGCATTCTGTAGGGCAGCTAAAAGGGGAAAAAAATCTATCAAAAAGTCATATTTTCTAATCTAGTTGACTGCGGTTCTGGCGCACAAAGAAATGAAGACTCTCTCATCCCATGAATCTAGCGACTGTGAAAAGCAGATAGGAAATAATTTGTCAATAGATTTGAAGATATCAAATGGATGCGAGAGGTCAGGACAGGCACAAGCCTCTGCACAGAGCCATAGCTCATCTAACATTTTCTTTAGCAGTTCAGGGAAAGCAAATAGTTTTCCATGAACCTTTTCAGTGGAGGGCAATAAAGAAACAGGCTCTCAGCAGCTGCTGCCTTTAATTGCTCTTCAGGTGATCTCAACACTAGCACCTTCTGCCTGTTGCAAGGACCACAAACCAGGAAGATTTCCAGTAAAGTTTCAAGGAAAAAAACAGTTCCACCAGTTAAGAAGGCTGTTCAGCAAGTTTTCTGTTGAAAACAGGGTGTACTTACCCAAAGTTTGCATTTGTAAGGTAAACCTCGGCAGCCCAATAGCTAAAGTAAGTCAGTGTGAGCACCTAATTCCTTTGGCCTCTTGCACAACTGCTCTAGGATCATTCATCCAACAACCGAGGCAGTGCCGGAAGCTGGTTCAATCAAAGCTGTGGTTTAAGCTACTATACAAAATTCTACACTTCAGTGATTTCATCTGCTCTGAAAAGAAAGTCCTGAGCACCAGTAAATTCAACAGGCATTAGCTTTCCCTGGCAGTAAAATGTTGTGGGTTTATTTATAGCCTATTAGTGCTCATGAAAAGAACAATAATCTAAAACAGAGTCAGGGACCGTGCTGCCGGTTAGAAAGTGTGCCACTATAACATTCCAGCTTGCTCCTGAACCAAAACCCCTTGCCTTTTTCTGCTCTTTGCCTGTCCATTCTCATGCACTTTACAACCTCACATATCCAGCTGGGCTAAAGGGTCCAAGCTCAGGAAATTATAGATTGCTGTTGAGCAATTTAAACCAAAACACAGGGACTACAGAAGTACTGAGAAGATCCAGGGGGTGATCGATCTTTCTCAGGAATATTCTGGTAGAAGAATATGCTAAATAAATAGAAATAGAAGTATTCTGCTGCAACAGGCAGCACCAGCCTTCTTTTAGGACAGGATGAAAGAAGAGTGAGTCATTCTTAATTATTAATTGAATAACTGAATACAGGCTCACCAGAAACCCCAAGCCTGGGTGAAATGATGCCCAGGTAGTGCTGTCTGCTATGGAGGAGCTTCCCTCCTCTCTGTTCCCACCTCCAGGAGAGCAGAAATTAGCCTGACTGCCAGCAGCTGCTGTCCATCCACATTAGGCAGTGAAAAGTCAAGGGAGGGAGAAGTTCACTTTTGCTCTGGAAGAGATGCTGCTGCTTGTTTAGAGTCAGTGTCTCTGGGTGGCTGTTTCCTCTCCTGCAGCAGAGGCTGGATGTAGTTTGTGAACCATGCTAGGCTTGGCCATGTACCAGATGACTTTCCTAGGGGTGGCAGTGAAGATGACTCTAGACTCAGCTGAAACTTGCTGGTGGGCTTCAAGAGGAGAGGAGCAGCAGGGAAGAGCTGGGCAGCTTATACATCTGCTTGATTAAGGTTCAGGTAATTGCTATGCATATCTTTACTCCTGATTTTCTAGTGATACTTAAAGTTTTAAATAATACTAATGATGGTAATATTCAAGACTTTCCTGTTTCTAATATCCATCTCGCCTGTCTTGGATTGGATTGGAATTGCCACCCTTGGCTGGCCCAAGCCTGTGTTACAGCAGTCAGTTAGAGCAGCAGCAGACAAAAGAGCAAGAAAATGAGTCCCCCTTCCCTGTGGACTAGAGTAAAGCTAAATGCTTGGAGTCTGTGTGCTTTTGGCTTAGAAAGAGGACGGAGCAGCAGAGGCAGGAGGAGACATCATATCCTACTTTTATTGAGCTACAGCCCAAAGGCTCATCTGTGTGCCAGAAGACATCTATACCACATCCCAAGGCCTCCAGAGTCTTGTTCTTCACTTCAAACTAACCCCTTCCCTCTCCCACTAGTGGGAATAAGCCTGGCTAAGTTCTCTTCTGTACACATTTGTTAGAAATCATGGATTTGAATTGTCCTGGAGCTCAGAGTTGTCTGGCACCTTTAATTGTGATCTAGGCCCCATAGGAGACGTTGAGCTTGTGGAGAAATAATCTAAAATGGGCAGCTGGGACCCAGATTCTGGTGACTGGTGTGTTATCTGTGTGGTCCACAGGAGAGAATGGTTTGACTGCCCCCATTTAAGCAGCAGTGAGCAACAGAGCATGAGGAAAGGAAATACAAGGTCTTAAATGAATCCAATTACTCATGCCATTAATTTAGATTTACTTGAGTAGCTGGAGCATGCTAAATAAACAACAATTGATTAGTTAAATCATGTTCATTTGAAATTTAACCATGAGTGGGTGAATATTTATCTTGCAGTCTAATTGTAAAGGTTTGCCAATGTGTTTCAGTTGATTTTAAAAGGTCACTCAAGAGTTTTTCATCTTGGATTTGCAACTATTCCCAAGACCAGTTCTGTCTGCAAGCTTTTTCCCTGGGTGAAAGCGCTGTAATGATGACAGTTGTAGGTGACACTTTCTTGAATGTTACACTCAAACTAGACACACACATAAGAGTATGTGTGGAATTAACCCCAAGGTTTGCTTTTAGCTCTCACAGAAGGAACTGACTCTAATTTTTACATTTAAGAGTATTGCAAGTATATTATTACATCCAACTATAATGCTTTGCACTATATTTGAAACTTCTATCAGTTACAGCAGCTGTAGCACAGAGAGAGAGCAGAATCTTCATGGCTTTGCAATGAAACCAAGCCAAGAAAGAACTGATGTAGTTCTGCTGAATAGTAGTTCAGTACCAGCTGAAGAATAGTAACTCGTTTCTCATTGACTACATGACATCCATTAGGCTGTGGGGAAAAAAAATGGGTGTTTTCATTTAGCAACAAGGAAAATTCCCCTTCTTCCCATGTCCTTTGATAAAATCAGTGTATTTCCTGTAACAAACACATCTGGAGGTAGGGTCCTTTCTCTCCCTCCAACATACATAAAAAAAAAAGGATGCAACTTTATTCAACACTTCACCCTGACCTGTTCTACCTCAACCTTTTTCCTATGTAAAATACAGCAAGGATTATCTCCCCTCTCAATTGCTCCTAAGTACTCAATTCCTGACAAAGAAAAGAGTGAGAAATCAATCCTTTTGGAATTTACAATGTTAATCTGAACCCAGGTAAAATGATTATAAAGTAATGTGCTTCTTAACCACATTACTAGCGGCCAACATTTCCTGTCTGTTAATAAGTTTCTGAGATTGCTGCATGGATGGAAATGGAATTTAAAAACTAATGTATTATTTCCTCCAGTGGGAACAGAGTTAGGAAGTAGGTACATGTAAAAACAGAACATTCTCTTATGTCTGGGGGGGGTTTACACAATATTCTCTCTCACAGGTACATCTTGACTTTCATCAGGCGTTCATGTACCTTTGTGTTTTACTCTCTCCCTGTATTCAGTTCCAGTATGATTTCTGTATGCTGGTTTTATGATGGAAATGCTTTGACAATATTGAGATAAAGCCCAGTTTTCCCAACCGTGGAATATGTGTGTAAAGAGGTCAGAATATTAAAATAAGCTCTGCCTTGGGAAACACGGCAGCGTTCTGCCCATGGCTTATAGAAAAGTAACAAAGGTTTAGATGGCAAAACTGGGCTGTTTCTTTGCAGATTTTATTTGCTCCTTTCATTTG